TCATGTCTTTGCTCGTATTCCGGCCGTTTTTCTCGTAATGCACGGCTCAAACGAATCAATTGTAGCCTATACCGATTCTTGACTCGGATCTTCATCGAGTAATGCCTCCAATTCTTTGTCTTCGAATTTTTTTGGCTGTCCAGAGCGAGGCTTGTCTTCAACGCTGAAATCATCATTCTTGAAACGTCGAAACCATTCCCTACATGATTTATCAGTTGGAGCATTGTTACCATAAACTTCTACAAGCTTTCGATGCGCTTCAGCTGCACTTTTCTTCCAATTAAAGCAGAAAACTAAAACCTCCCGCAAATGCTGCTTAGTTAACACAAAATTTGACATATTCAACACAGTAAAAAACAGGGGTTTTGTATGAAACTCAAAGCAATATAAACTGAATATTATTGACAGATGTCTAACCTCTCTGAAACCACCGAAATCAGCTGTCACTATGAAACATTTATAACAGCCAGAGCCATCTTTTGAAAACGGACCGAACTAATTTGTACTCCCAATATTTCCTGGTTTTCTAATCCTCCATAGAGGATTTCTTATTATTGTGCTTTCATTTTATTATTTCACTTTTACTTTTATATAGTGCAAAAGACCTATCACGTCGTTACGCATTTTTAAAAAGAAAAAGAAGCTGCGAATTAATACCACGGGGTGGAATACGTAACAAGAGGGAAAGCGAGGGAGTTGATATCGCCGCAGTATTACGTGCATTGGGCACGATATGTATTAGCCATATGACTGGTATCGTTACTTTCACTCAACTGTCATACATGTACACACGCCTGCTCGTCCCATGCGCTCACGAAGAAACTGCAGATACCTTTCACCGGGAAACAACGTTATACCTGGAGGTCGTTAAGTCCCGCCGGGTAATGGCATTGAACTTTCGACACATCGTACTTATTCCGCGGCGCGAGCTCGCGTATAAGCACATTTTTACAGGAAGGATTATACGACGTGTGCTTGTCTCCGTGTCAAGTTGGGCTAAGGGCACGCTGAACGCCCTTTTCCCTTGTTCCTTTCTGAATTCTTGTTTTCGCCCTTGTGGCAGATGATTCTTCAAGTACATCTCACTGATTATTCAGGAGTACTCATCTCTCAGTTAATGTATTCGTCACGTAATTTTAAGTTTTGTTTATTTCGCCATCGAGAGTCGCGCTTCTATTCTCGTCTTCGAACGATAAATTGACATATCACTAAAAGATACTGCCCGATAAAGCGTTCTTCTTCTGCATCGTCAACGAAAAAGATATCCTTTTCATTGCTTTTACGTGAGAAAAAGTGCGAATAAACGATGGAGTTCACGTAGGTTGAGCGATTGATTCGCAAGATGAGATCCTTCGAGTACACTCCTGAAACACATTACCACGCCACTCGGGTCTGAATCCTTTTCTCTCCCTCTTTCCACCATTCCCTAGGGTGCGTTCGGGGAGACGCTATCCACACTATCAACTGCGTTTGCAAAGCCAATAGCACAATAGTGATAGCGAACTCCGGGAACAGCAATAGCGTAGCGTTAACCGTGTTTCTGCTACTCATAACAACTTTCTTCAAACTTAATCGACTTCTAATCTACCTAATATTTTAAATGGAGCAAGATCGAAGGAGACTATTAGTAATTGCAGTAGCTGGTATTGTAGCTGGAAATAATAGATTCGTCTTCTGAAAGTGATAACAAAAATTTTAAAATAATTTAAAAATAAAAAAATTTTTAAATAAAATAAAGAAATATACATATACGAAAACATGTACCACGAATTGAAAACTATGTGAAGGAAATAATAGTAGCATTAAGAGCGGACGAATTTAAAGCTCATTTCAGCTCATTTTTATGTATTAATATGAATGTCTTTTTTGAACAAAGAAAAATTACACTTTGTATAATGTTCTAATAAATTTTTTTGCTAACTTTTATAATTCTCCCTTTATTCAAAGATATGTAATTAATTTCCTGATAACTAGATGTATATGTTTATATATAATACATGATGTAGGATATCTCCTGAAACCTATCGATTTTCTGTCATCGCGTCTTTCAATTCTATTTTTACATATGTACTGTCCATGATTCTTCACGTTTTTTAGTCAACGTGACGTTTATATAAACTTGACATTAAGCCAGCTTTGCTCGTTAAGTCAATTTAAGGTTAAGCCAGCTTTATGCACGCAGATACATGCAACACTACCGCTGTTCGCGGGCTCTCAAACGCAAACGTTATCTACATACTACTTCAGAAGGAATAGCGTGGATAGCGCGTTCTTATGACGTAGAACGCTACCGTTCATGACATCATGAAAGTATTTGTTAGCGTTACCACTTAGCTCCGCGAACAACCCGTAGCGATAAGTAGTACTAGTAGCGTCTCCCCGAACGCACCCCTAGTCGTCGATAACTCAAACAGATGACTCGGATGAACATGCATAATAACTGACAATTTTTTTGGTTTAATGCAAGAAGAGGTAGCCGCTATAAAATTAGTGGACCCGACGGATCCCGGCGAGCACAACGGCGACATCGTCACAGATCCGGAAGCAGAACTTGCTTCACGAACGATCTCTCTGGACAATTCCACATCTGAGGCCAATGTTAGTATACATCAATAAGTGTAATGGAAAAAGAAACAAAAGAAAAAAAAAGTATATAAAACAGAAACAAATTCGCGCGAAAAACTTACTCGATCCGTAGAGAACAAGCTTCGGTCCTGATAACCCGTCGCTTCCTATCCCCTTGTCCACAACCTTGCTTTAATTCTTAAGCCGTAAGAAATTGACCAACCACAGTTGATTATTTTTAAAATAATCGACTGTGGTTGGTCAATTTATTACGGCTTAAAGATTAAAGGTTGTGGACAAGGGATAAAACTCGTCTAACGTCGAAATTCTTGGCCACATACAGTGTGCGTCATATCGAGTTACAGCGAGAGAAATCTTATTTCTCTAATGTCCTTTGGTGTGTTTCACAATGGTAGTATTTTACAATGGTAATATTTATGTAAAGGCTCATCTATAATACATGGGCTTGGTGTGTAAGAAGTTGGAGTAAGAAATGAAAATAATTTATTTCGCTTACTATTGTAGGATGTAAAAGCGAACTGAGGTAACACGCGGCATCTTGACAATAACATCAATATGAGAAAACGAGAGTGTGTTGGAGCGGGAGCCTGGGTAGCTTTGTAGTTTAGAGCAGTCGCCTGGCAAGCGAAAGATCCGGATTCGAGTCCCGGCCCAGCAAACTTCGGCTATACTTTTCTCTCCGACTCTTACATTATCTTCTATACTGTAGCTCTTTATACCGGAAGTATTTCTCTTGTGTAAGAAGAGAGTATAAGAGAAATAAGTTATTTTTATTTCTTACTCTGACTCGCACGTACACTTGACTCGTAAAGTGTCTGTCGGCGATGCAATTCGTATAACTTGTCTAGCTCCGTGTATATTTTCATAGAGTACTGACAAAATACGGGTTCCCAAATTTGTTAGTGTAGAATCGACGAGAGGAGAAAGAAAGTAACGTGTAAATTAGAATAACCGTACACTGTAAAACACTGTGTCAGTATATCTCTTCCTAATAATGTTTGTCTTACGACAGTTATTCTATTAATACGATCTTCATGTATGATGAAAGTATTGGCAGTAATACTTATCGGTGTGAGAAACTAACGAGATAAGCCTCACTCGTAATAGCTTCGAGAGAGATAACTGATAATTTACTAGTTAAATTGGCCTATTAATTAGATAATTTTTAATTAATGTTTAATTACTAATTGATGTTTCACTGACGCGATATCTCTTTCTCTGAATTTATTGGCAGATTTCTATCGTTGTTGTTTCTTATTCGAAATGTCTAGAAAAAATGGACGGAGGATCTATTATTACGTCATCACTAGCGTTGAAGAGAGCGTTAACTAACATGATCGCATGTCGTTGACTCTTTTTGCCTCTAATCTACGGAGTGTTCGTAGGAGGGGTTTTGCGCGGTGATTTCTATGCACGACGGCCTTATGCTATACACAACATCGTCGATATACACCGCTCTTGGCTACCCCAAAGACGCCTGGATTGGTCGATCCTTCATCGATTACGTGCATCCAAAGGACAAAACCATCCTGGCCGATCAGATTACGAGTGGCATCGCGTCGCTGGAGGAGGAACGATCTAAAGGTACATCGCGATGCTCGTGTCCAATGAATTATGAAAAAATGAAAGAAACTCTGTAGAAAATAGTAAAATCAGGAAATCTAAATAAACGTCTAAACGAATTTTATAGTAGAAATTATTATAGGATTTTGTAACCGAGGAATAGACTGACATTCTGCAGTAATTTATTATCCTTTCATTTCATATGTGCTATTTATATCTTAGAAACTATGCTGCAATATGCTATATTAAACACTTGTTATGTTTCTAGTAAAATCTGCTATGGTTCTGGCGAAATTTATTATATTCTTTAGCAAGATAGACTTGATTAATTGACTGAGTCTATTTCTAAACTATTAAAAACAAAGTAATATTGACAAAAATTACATAAAATAACTGTAATATTCTTTTCGTTTAACAAAAGGATTCATGAAGGAATCACTTTCGTCGAATTATTTAACGAGTAATTAAATTCCATTCCGTTTAATTAACAAGTTTTGTCAATCAGAATCAGCTTTCGGAAATTGTATCGTCGAAATTACAAAAATAATTAAGAAATATCACTACAGAATAATTTTGACCAAGTCTCGACATCCTTGCGCGGCTTTTTTGGACCGAAATTAATATCTATTGATCGAATATCTAGGACTCAGTATCTAGGTCTCAGTACAGTTTCGCTTAGTTCGTTGAAACTGTATTGTTATTTAATTCCTATTGTCTTCTTCCTCTTTTTCCAGGCATTAACGGCAGACGGGTGAGCTTGTTCTGCGGCCTGCGAAGATTCAGGTACAGCGTGCCGAACGATTACCATACTGACGCCAGGTCGAACCTGTACCTGCTCTTCCACCTCACCTTGTCCTTCCGGGATTTCCGAGACCGGACGGCCGAGCAGCCTAACAGGGCTGTGTTCCTCGTGATTACCGCTCAACCCGTCCATTCCGCATACAAAGGTAGCATGGTCCAAGATGTTCGACGAGGTCCGACCGGCGAGAGGACTCGATAATGGTCATGGTATGAAGCGGTCGGCCTAATTATCGCAAAACTCCCCGCCGACTTGAACGAATGGGTAGCTTAAGGCAGTCACTTCGAGTTACTTCGAGGCGAATTACTCCGGCAAATTCCTTACATTTCCTTCATCAGATTCTTAATATTCCTCTTCTGCCAAATTGCAAACATATAATAATCGCTTGGGATACATTATTAATCATGGGGAAAATAACATCAAAGTGAAACTTAAGCATCGAAGTAACTCGAGTTCATAGTATTTGTATCTGTGTACTTAGACGACGTATACGGGATGTATCTGAAATAGCGACGACAACTGAAAGAAGATTCGATCTGTAATTTCCATAACGTGTGTTCTTCGTGATTCGCTCAAATATCTTTCACATACATCCCGTATGCTCCGACACGTTCTCGAATATTATTCTTCTGTCTGCCATACATAAGGATCGAGCCTTGTCGTCAGTCCGACCTCGTCGACGATACTCATTGAGTCGGTGGTTCCCACTGAAATGCTCTAAAGCGAAGGTAACTCACTTCCAATTTTCAAAGTGCTCCCTCGGTAACTCGTATGACGATATGATATGGTATGCCGTATTATATTTGCCGTATTGTCACTGTGCCATTTCCTTGTCGGTTTCCCCGTTTTTCGTTTAGTTTGGAAACCACTGTTACGACGTTCGCTGCACTTACGAGCACCATGTGATGTCAGATTGCACTCGTCACCCTTCATGCCTACAAGGTGTTGGCTTGGCTGTTGTCATCGGTGCATGGGAATCATTTACTTCTAGCCCTCTGCTAGAGCTTCACTGTCCGCGTGTTATCACTCGAGTCGAGTTACCACTTGGTTCTGGGCTTTTGTTCGCGTCGATAGACTTTACATTGTCAAAAGGACTTTAGCTTCTTATCTTACCGGGGATCTTTGGAATTTCGATCTCTGATCTCCGATCACACGTTATATTTTGAGATATCGTAAACATTCGAATGACACATCTTCGTTGAAAGCAAAAATATAAAAATATCATGCAAAAGAACGAGATTCCAAAATTTGCCCGCAACTTACGGTGAAATTCGCGCAGAGTTATATCATGCTCGGTAATACAAGTAAATTTGAGTAATATCGATCAAATGCCTCGAGTTAAATTTCGCGAGAAATAACATCAGTTAGTTAGCTTTTTCTCGCGCGAATTTCCCCGCGTCTCATCTCGTCGGCGCTTAATCACGTCTAAGCAGCCCCATCGCAAATATAATCACGAATCTCACCACCGAGGTAACGGCCCGCGAAGAGAGAGAATGACTCCAACCTTGTTATCCGCAGCGCCAGAAGAAACAATAATGTCTTCGGTATTCACAACCCGCCACACCGCGACATGCCACCTATCCCATGTCGATCCCGACGTAGTCCAATACTTCGGCTATCTACCGCACGATATGGTTGGCCGTTCGCTGTTTGACTTCTACCATCCCGAAGATCTGCCATTCATCAAAGACATCTATGAGACTGTGAGCATGAGTCCAACAAAAAATCAAACGAAAAAAAAGAAAAGACGAAAAGAAAGAGAAATGGTTTAGGTTCCGGTTGCGCGTGCACGCCCGAAAAAATACGCGATGATAATAAGTGTTGATAGTGCGAGAAAGAGAAAGGTAAGAACGAGAGAAAGAAAGATAGTGCGAGAGAGAAAGGAGAGAACGAAAGAAAGAAAGGTCGAGAGCAAACGAGCGAGCGGGCGGACGAATTTGATACTCATCTTCTCTTTTGTATCGCGAGTAAAGGACGATTACTCACGCGTTCCTTACGAAATGTCGTTGAACAGGTGATCAAGCTCGAAGACTCCTCCTTCAGGTCGAAGCCGTACAGGTTTGCCGTGCAGAACGGAGGCTACGTCGTCCTCGAGACCGAGTGGTCGTCCTTTATCAATCCGTGGACGAGAAAACTAGAGTTTGTCGTAGGTCAGCATCGTGTGCTCAAGGGTCCGCTGGACCCGGACATCTTTCGCGTGCCGCGCAAGACCGAGTGTGGCTACCTGGCCAGCATCAGCGAGGAGGTACTGAAGGAGGCGAAGATTATTCAAAGCGAGATACGAGCGCTGCTTGACGAGGTATGGCAAAAGTGACAGTGGCTACGACACTTCACACAATAATCGCGCAATCCTTACAATCCTCGTGCTTGACTCGATGTACGCGTTAATTATCCCCCGCGCTCCAAGGAAAAGAAAAGACAAAATCCATAATTGCATGCAAAATTGAAAAACCGGCTAATCGTAAAGCAGTCTTATCGCGGCTTCTCAACGACGTGATAATTCTCGTAGTTCCTTGATAGCGTAGAAACTCGATATGGGTGGAAAAGGGATCGTGATTTTGAGGAAAGAAAGAAACAGAGAAAAATTGACGAGAGAGAATCTCTCCCTCTCTCTCTTATACTGCGAGTCGAGTAAGCCAACTCATCCCCCAACTTGTTCTCTTTTTTTTCTATCGTACGTGTGCGCAGAGCATCCAAAGAACGTCAGATATAACCGAGCTCGACGTGTCAAAACGATGTCAGGACCTAGCGTCCTTCATGGAAAGTTTGCTGCAGGAGACGAAAGCGCTCGGCGTCAGCAAGGACGGACTGGCAGCGGACGACAAGAGCTTTTCGGTGACTATTAGCTACGTTTTAGTATCGCCGACTGTTTCGCTAAATTACTTACGCTATGATGCGCTCCGCTCTTTGGTATGCTACAAAGAGAAAACGTATGATCTCTATTCAGTACTTATATACTGTAGTTAGTCGCTGTGTAACGATAACGCAAGTCTGCCACGTTTCACTTCGCAGACGGGGCGACGCGGAAGGTATATATACATACGTGATTTTTACCGCTTAATTGCATGCCGTCGACGCACGATATATTTTTCCGGTAATTCGTTTTTGAACTTTCGTCGAGGACGAATTTCTCATCGGAGTATGCGCCTTTGTACTCTCCTAAAGTGAATCGGCAAACATACTTCTGATTGTATCAGCAAAAAACTATTTCACTGATGATCAGTAAGTATTCACATACGTTATAGCAAATCTACACAGAAAGAAGGTTTGGTTAGACTGAAGGTATTAGAATTCTGTTCAAATTAACAAGATTTCCGGTTGAACAGAATTCTGGTAATTTCAACCGGAATTTTTTGTTCCGTTTATATTTTACCAGAAATGGGTTCCAATCCAATCAAACTCTTTTTTCGTGTAATTTTCTGCGTTTGTGACGATGGAGTTAACGGTTTTCATACGATTTGATTGATTTTATTGATTGCAGTGCTATATCTGTAACTGAACTGCCAGTTATAAGTACTCAGTGAAGAATACATTGATTGTACTTTAGTGAGTACTCGTTCTCAAATGTCTGACTCCTCGGAGCCATTGACGTCATTTTCTTTCTACATATTGCGTACAGCTGTTCTGTGGAAGATCCTTGACGTCTTTGGAAAATATTGAAGTTGCTAAAGAACATATATTCTCCTTTTCTTTCCGTACTCGACAGCGAAAGCGACTTGCCGAAAATGCATCGTGGCGATATGGACAACTAAGAAAAAAGAAAATTTCCTTTTTCGTGAAGGAGAGGAAGAATATCGAATGAATGTTTTGATACAACTATGCTTCTCGAACGCTTCTTTTTTCTTTGCTGATTCATATGACGTAAACGCATGATATAAGTAGGATTAAAACAAGCAAGGTTTAACCAACGAGCCTCTGTCCTTCTATCTATCTATCTCTCGCTACTTCCGATCAAACGTACGGTGGAATTTTTTAGAAGGGCTTAATGGAGCTAAGAAGGCTGAGGTGAGTACACGAATACACTTGTCGACAGCGAAGGGTCGAAAAGAGCGTAACTACATCGGGAGTAACGCTCTTTAACTCTTTACTAATCAAAAACACGACTACAGTAGCAGATATAAGCAATGGTTAGTGTAAACCTTTTTCATCAATCAAGCATCTACTAAGCTTTTTTGTACGTAGACACGGACGGAGGGCAATGAAAAAGTCGGGTAGGGCCAGTGAAGAATAACGTCAATTTCGAAACCTTATAGGCACTGGTTATCCGGTAAGTCCATCTACTTTTTTCTTTTTTGTTGTTTCATTCACTATTGTCACTCCTTGATGAAGCGCGATCGATTTTAATAGAAAGTAGCAATACTCAATATTATGTCTGGTATATGAGTAGCAACATGTCTGGAAATTCGAGTAGCCGCAAACAAGCGTCGCTACTCTTTATCGGAGTCTTTCAAAGGTGCGAAGGATTGATCTTCAATACGTCGGACTTTCCCTCGTCGACCATCTTTCTGCAACTTCCTGGGGAATCTCCCGCTTCTGCAGCGAGACGAGTTTTGTGCGGGTCAGTCTATAGCCTCGTCGAGATTTTTATCCCTCCCCCTTCGATCTCTCCGTGATGCAATCACGACTTTCTTCTTTGTATGACTATAGTGTGTATCATGAAGTTATTACGAGACTATGCTCGCAAGATGCTCGACCCGGTGAGCTCTTTCACTTGCAAGACTTTGAAACTAACGAGGATACACGGCTGAGAGAGATTGAGCTTCGCGGCGATTGTCGCCGAGAAACTTAAGTATTGTCGCGTTACTCCACCACTTAAGCAACTCAATAGTTTCTCTCCTATCTGCGCTCGTAGATGCTGATTAATTTTTTTATTAATTTCCTCGGTTTCTTCTTATTTTATTGATATCGCGTACGTTACAAAATGATAAATGATACAATATTCTCAAAGGCTTAAGTGAAAGACGGAAAAGAAGGATAATGACGATAACGTGCAAGGCAAAAGCAAGGAGTGACATTAAGAGATAGAAAACTAAATTAAAACTGACAGTCATTGACGACTTCGATCGTAGTTCAGATTTTAATCTTATACGAAGAGAAAGAGAGATTTTAATCTTACACGAAGAGAAATTCGCACACAAGCGACACAAGTGAAAATGCGACGTGTAAAATCCTGCCGTGTCTACGACATGTAAGACTTAACTCGCCGCGACTCTACCGCTACCAATCAATCAGTCGTGGTCGACATTATAAAAGAAAGGAGCAAGAAGCACAGGAATCCGACGCGATGAGGAACATCGCGCACAAAGCTCAAGGTGTGCTCGCACGTTTCGGATCGATCTGAACTCTTTGCTGTAAATAAACGCCTAATCGCAGCCACAAACACGGCGGAGCGCACTTTGCCGCGGAAGCTTGCGCCGCGAGCTTACAATCGTGTGCTTGCGAACGATGCACATCACACAGTGATGTCGGTGGTGAAGAAAAGAACCTCCCTCGGGAGACTCATAGACGAACCTCCTCTCTATCTCACTTTTTAACTCGAATTAATTAATGAGCCCTTAACTGAGACTAACCGAGACTTCTCGGGGCAGCCGACGGGGCAGCCGACGAACGCACTCACCTACCGTTCATGTAGAAAAAACGCAGACCACGATAAAAACACACTACTGACCACTGATAACCGACGTGATGCGAATATTTATAATTAGTGACAACTCTCACTCTAAGTCGCTACAATATACTTGTGAAGGGATCACGCAATCCCTTGTTGCAGGAGCACGACAGCGTGATGCTCGGTGAGATCTCGCCTCATCATGAGTACTACAACAGTAAGTCCTCCACGGAGACGCCGCCGAGCTATAACCAACTCAACTACAACGAGAACATCGAACGGTTCTTCAATAGCAAGCCGACGATCGCTACCATGTACGGCAGCGATGAGGAAAACGTCAATTCCAGCAATGACGAGGGTGAGTTGAGGAGTCGTACACTTTCTCGTTCTCTCCCCAAACAAGTTTCGCGCGCGTGTTTGTATCTCATTTAATTTCGTGACGTCCCTCAATTATTAATAACTTGAAAGTCTTTTCCCATTAAAAACTGGGCAAGTGTTGATATGTACCTATTTTGCTTATTCTTCAAATATGTTTGAAGTATGTCTCACGAAGAGATCGCTTCAGGATCATTTCATGGCAGAGTATATCATTGGATCCGTGATGTTTTCAGCTCGGAAATTCATGTCGCCGATAAACGGCAGCGGCGCAAGCGGCAGTGGTAGCGCGGAGAACCTGAGCAGCGGTTCCAATAATCAGGCGAGCTCGGCGAGTCGTGGCGACACATCGAACACCGCCAGCAACAGCAACACTACCGCGACGGAGAGCTTCAAACCGCCCACGCTGACGGAGTCGTTGCTGAACCGGCACAATGAGGATATGGAGAAGCTGATGATGAAGAAGCACCGTGAGCTACGCTCCAGTATCAAGAACAGCGACAAGTTGAAGGATTCGCGTATCAAAACGGAGAAAGTCAACGGGGCTGATCAAAACGCCCATTACGTCAATCAGGGTCATGGCATTAAGAGAAGCAGCAGTCATAGCTGGGAGGGTGATAGCTTCAAGGTTCGATCTTGCTCTTAAAGTTTTCAAGTTTTAAAATAGACTGGCGAGACGAATCCCGTGATAAAATATCTTGCAACGATACGCGCAATATAGTTAGCAATTTTATATATTTTTTCGTTAATTTTTATTTTAACATACAAATGCTCGAAAATGAGGAAAAATATAAGATTGGTCGAACGTAAATGAAATTGACACGAATTTAAATTTGGTAATACATGCAAACAGGTGTCAAAGCATGATAAGATTTCAAGAACGAGCACGGCGGGTCCGGCGAATCTCACAACTACTGTCACTAGTATGAGCCTCGATCAATCAACCATAATGCAAGCCGGAGCGAATATTAATCTGTGGCCACCGTTGTCGGTCACCGTGCCTTCCTCCGTGCCAGCTCAACCCTGCGCACTTCCACCACACAAGTAAGCCGACCGCAATTTACGTAGAGAATATTAATTATATTGAAATCACACAAACTTACATGTAAAACAGTAAGAAAGGAAATAACGTGCTGTAAAATCTTGTTGCGGGAGCGATCGTTGACCTAAATATATTTGCGAGTTTTAGCATCAATTCGGAGGTCACATCTAGATTCCCGTTGTTACCGTCGGTGATACCCGTATATTACATGCCAGTACCACAACCTAACGACTCCACGACGACGATGTCGCCATCCCAAGAGAAGTTGGGCCCACCACCGACCACGCAATCAACACAACAGAACCCTTACAGTAAGAGAATTTAATTATAAATCGCTTTCTATAATTTGCGAGTTGACTGAACTTTATAGATTATTGTTCTATGCTCGCAGTTCGAGACAATTTTTAATCATTTCGGAAGCTCTTGAAAATTCTAGATATCATATTGAAAGAATCAAATTCACTCAAGATTGTAATTTATTGCTGAAATTTACGCAATTTATCATTAATTCGCAAAAGCGAAAATTTTTTAAACTTGCAATGCGATAGATATAAAAGAATTATAGTGTTTGTTCCAGTGTCTTACATTGCGACGGCGATGGCCGGGATGATATACCCGGCGGTGATCGGTGCACCACCGCCACGTGCGATGATGTACACGCCCTTTCTGATACCCGAACAAGCCCCAGCCACGCGTGAGAACCAGCAACTGCCCAAAGACAAGTGTCCGGATCGACCGGCCAGTCAAGCGACTAGTGTCAAAGCCGAGCCGGGAAGCATAATGGCTATGTCTGAGTCTTCCAAGAAGGTAAAATAGCCATTGACAGTCGAAGCTAGTTAATATTAAAATATTGCTGAAAACTTATGTTAAAATTAACATTCTGAATAGTCTAGATTTTATACAAAATGTAATGCAAGTAATTGATTAAGTAATCTTAATCAATTTGTCAGATTCTGTCGCCCGACGAGCTCTTCTCGTCGTGTCTGAGCAATGATGGTGGTTGCTCAAGTGTGGTGGACTTATTGACTCCGGTGATCATGAAGGGACATCGGCCGACAGACTACAACGGAGACGAGTCGAGTTCGTCCAGTTTCTATAGCAGTTTTCTGTACAAGAGCAGCGACAGCAGCTGTAATCCGGATCAAAAAACGTGTGAAGTCTCTTCCGAGGTAAGGAAACGAGTTTTTCTGATCTTTTAGGCGCATTTTAGATCCTTCTGTTATCTTCGAAATCGATTGTGAAATTTAATTAAATTTTATTGGTGCTTAGGAGCACACCAAGTGCCATCAAGGAATGCGGAGGAGGGATCCACCTTGGCTGGATGGTGTTCAACTGACGCCAGAACTGATCTACGAGTACAAGATGCATCCGAAAACATTAAACGAAGTGTTGAAGGCCGACATGGACGCGATGAAGAACTTCAACCAGCCGTTGCTGGTGAATGATCAGCTTGGGCAGCTCTACTTGGATTTGGAAGTGGGAGGCTTCGGTGCAGAACTGATCCTTGAAGAAGGGATCACATCAAGCGGAAGCGATAGTAGCAGTAGTAACGGCAGTTGGACGGAAGTCGTATCGCAGGTAAGAACAAAATTGATGAAATTGTGAAATTTATTAGAATATACCATTTAGTATATATTTAGTCGAATAATTAATAGGTTCTTCCTAAATTCTGAAACTAATCCTCTAATATATCCTCTAATATATACGTGCTATTTCTATAAAATAGTGTCTTCTTTACACTACCAACACATTTATATTATTATAATCACGACGATAGAATATACTAGTTTTTATAAGAATTTTTCAGAAATTAGAGAGAGCCGCGCAGGTCTTATGACGGTCCTGAGACTAAGCGTCGAGCGAGTAGGAGAGGCAAAGGGAAGAAAATAGGTGTATACGTAAATTGCAAATAATTCCGAGCACTAGTCAGAGATAATAAAGTAATAAATTGATGAGGTCTTGTTAATAATATTTCGACAAGAACTTTGATCGTTTTAACGAAAAGAATCTTTATTAACACTGAGAGATTTTTTATCTAATTAGAAAATTTTCATATTGTTTTGTTTGGCATTTTGATTGACAACGCAAGCAGAGGAAAATGGTGAAATACGGCAAGCTCGTGATGATTCATGAGGAGAACGCACCGCTGCCGCCTCCGTTACCGCCTCAGACTGTGCCCTGTCAACGTTCTTAGGAGTTGCGCTCGATCCGCCACGGATAACCGATCCGGAACAACTCCGAAGTCGACGTTGACTTCGTCGCGCTTGTATTTCTCCCGTATAGAACCGATATCATCTTATTAGTCCTTAGATTAGATCGTATTCTATTCTCGCACTGTTTACATGTACTTCGTTTTCGAAGCGTGTAAAGTTGCCGAGAAATTTAATTTTTCTCCTAGACTGATGACGTTCATTTACCACGTATTTTTATTTTTACAATAATTTTTGATAAACTTCTCGTAGATAAGTAGAAAGAGAAGATAAAAGTAAGGCTTGGGAAAGATTTATAATTCCTTAAATAAGGAATGAGATATTTGTATATTGCGTTATTTCCTATACTAAATTTTATACTCATATTATATTATGTATGTGTAAGAGTTAAGTTCCGCGCTTAATATGTACAATTTGCTATTGAATTCCGACCAAATAACAGAGTGAAATCTCTGAGTTAAACAATTTGAAGAAATACAAACAGGAACCGGGACATATACCCTTATATACCTAGAAATATCATACTAAGAATCATTGATAATTACTTATTATCCAGTATTTTTAATACTGAAAATAAGTAATTATCAATGATTCTTAGTATAATATTTCTATAAGGGTATATAAATAACGAATGAAATGCACTCGATGAAAGATACATAAATCTACCAAAAGATTGATGACAATAATTTCGTTTCTTAAATCGTTTTCTAGAAAATTCAATCTCTTTTTATCAAGAAGATTATGGTTAATCGTATTGTCATCATCGATCAAAGTTCGAAGCAAGTCTTGACGTTGCCTCAGTCAAGCAACGAGTTTCAGTAAATTTCGTCAAAATTTTGGCGAATGGAACATACTAATCGAACAAATTTCCAAAAGTATTTGTACTTATATTATACTTATATACGGGATGTCTCGAGATCACCGGATATTCTTGCAACAATGGGTACTAAAGAACATTTCGTATTTCCGGTAGAATCCACAATTGAAAAAATACACGATGATCTTAGGACATTCTGTGAAATAGGTAATACATTACGGTACAAATGCGAACAGAAAACGATGACTGATTCCCTTCGAGGAGTGCGTCGAAGGTAAATCCATTGTATAAAAGGAGTGAAACTCGACGCACTGTTTTCGATACCGTCCGTAAAACCCATTAGTATAATATAACTGCATAAGCTACATATGAATTGATCGAGAGATCACGAGAGAACATAAGTGGAAATAGAAAGAAAGTACTTTTGATAATTTTTTGCGTTCTTCGTCCTCGATTTTTTACGCTCTTTTTTCCCACCCACTACCGCAAGATTTCGTGAGTCTTGTATTATGCGTAAGAGAGTAATTTCGCTATTTTAAGTGCTACTTATACACATTCTTATCGGTATCACTATAAAAGTCTTGACATGCGTTTCGATCATATCAGCGACTGACGTGATTTATCAGTAGCTGGTTAAAACTGATAAATTACGCGAGAACGTGCATTTCATTCGAGATACGTACAATAATGCGTCGCTTGTAGCTTCTGGGGATTAGAATCGAGAAATGGGATCAGCCTATTAGCTGCATGGCGCGACCTATTGTAACACTCGTGATATATCGCGGCACGCCACTTTGTATATTCAGCATTTTTATATCTCTGGAAGATAATTTAGACCAAATATACATAGAGTATAAATAAAATTAGGATAAGTATATTTAGATTTCTTATGTAATATATGTCTCGTCTCTAACTGTTTTTCACATCATTCTCCTGGCAACGATCATTCATATTTTGAATTTGTGCAACAGAGCAGAGAGAGAGAGAGAGAGAAGGGAGAGAAAATGAGAAAAAAAGTATGTTTTTTTAATGATTGAACTTGATAACGCTCCATTTATTAAAATTTTATTATTATTTCTTTCAATAATTGTTTTGTTAAGAATATCGTTTGGAAATCCATGAAGATATTAAGTGAATTTATGAAAAACAGAGAAAAATAATTTGCTGGCCCAGCAAATTTTCTGCTGGTCTAGCAAAATCTTTTCGTTATTATATAGACAGCAAAAATATTTGCTAAGAGTACTAATCACTATTGTCTGGATATAATTTGCTAAATCTACAAATTATTTTGCTATAAGAATCATGATGGATTTACATAAGCAGTTGCAGTTTTGCTCCGATAGCAAATAAATTTGCTAAGAATACATTATTTTGCATCAATAGCGAATTAACGTGATTCTTAGGACAAATACACTCAACAAATTTTTTCTATCCTGACAATAAAACTATTTCTGCTCTGATAACGAATAATTTGTAAAATTAGTTAGTGTAAATTTAGTGTCAACTAAATTTTTTTGATATCCCTTATAGAAATTTAATACTGATAAGTAATAATTTGGCCAGTGATAATTACTATCGTTCAATAATTTTATTACTCGTACGAGTAATAAAATTACTATTTATTACTGGCCAATTTATCACAGCCAGTGATACTTTTCTATAAGGGATCACTACGAATATGCAGTAGCAACGACGATTTTGCTAAAATTATTTTTTTCGTGTATATATCTTAAATTTTTCCGTTAAGATAATTTATTGACGTCTGTTGAATCTGATAAATTTTAAATTCCGATATAATTTCGTTGATATGCGTGTACCGTGCTTTATCTGCACCCGAATTTATCTCCACAAATAAGATTTCAAATAAGGTATAAATAAATGGAGCTTTATCATGGAACAAAACTGAAACTGCGTGATATATTATATAATTAGATAAATTTAATCTATCACGTATATCACGTGTTTAGAAAATAATAATATGCGTGTGCGAACGGACGACTCCTTATCGCATTTATATAATCACGTAATTAAAAACGCTATTACTTACATAATTGCGACCGGAGTTCGCGCATCGCTTAATATAAATCTATTTCAAGAATTTATTGACCAGCGAATTAGCGCAGGTACCTTAACGATTCGAGTACAGCGCACGACACGTACGAAAGACGGAAAGATATTTTGTATACTGCATATTTGCCCGTGTCACGTAATGATTGCAACGATCGGCACGTGTCGATCGCATCGTGTACAAGTATCAGTAAGAAACGATATTTTATATACGAATGATTTAGGGATGGAAGTTGATTTTTTGGGGTAAAGACACCCAAGAAATCGAGATCTAGTCTGAAGTAATCCATAGCTGTGTCGCTTCCGTTTAATGTCTTCGTACGGAAACCACTTTCTGTGCGGGATCATGCACAGCGGACTACTGTACCTCAACGAAAGAAAAGAAAACGAATCCCGGGATTATTCACGCTGGATTTTAGCGACTTTCTTATCATATATACGCTATGTATCGTAATAACAAAACCTGGTAATATGGAGGACGAAGAAATATAATAATAATTGGTCTTTACACGGAGAAAAATAATTTGCTGGCCCAACAAATTTTCTGCTGATCTAGCATAATCTTTTCGTTATTATATGGACAGCAAAAAGATTTGCTAAGGATACTAATCACTATTTGTTGGATATAATTTGCTGAATTTACAAATTATTTTGCTACAAGATCCATGATGGATTTGTATAAGCAGTTGCAGTTTTGCTCCGATAACAAATAAATTTACTAAGGACACATTATTTTGCATCAATAGCAAATTAACGTGATTCTTAGGACAAATACACTCAACAAATTTTTTCTATCTTGGCAAGGAAACTACTTCTGCTCTGATAACGAATAATTTGTAAAATTAGTTACGTTAACTAATTTTTTTTATATCACTACGAATAGTTGCAGTAGCAACGACGATTTTGCTAAAAGAGCAAAATTATTTTTCTCCGTATAGAAATTTCTATGATGATTCCTTTCTGCAAAATTATTGTATTGAACTCTGTGAATGAGTCACATCCCTCCGCGAATGTAGTATAAATTTTTCCTAAAAGTATCTTCAGGCCGAATGTCCAAATTCACGCGAACCAAAATGTTCTTTAAAATCCAGCTTGCGATTTTCTCGAACACGCAGCCGAAGACGATCGGCCATCCTCGTGCCAGCACAAATTTTGTGATTTCCTCGCCGAGAGAGAGAAACGATCGTCACGGTCGCGTTAATTAAGTGCACTCGAAGGTGTGGATGACTCAAGGTGCAAACGCAATCGTAGAATTTATCCTAATAATAAGACAGACATTTTTGTAGTCCTTTGAATTCTGATTACAAAATGTACGAAGCGCGAGATTTTCCTCGTGGTTAGAATCGATCAGGCAAATTAAAGGAAATCGAGACACGGTGAGCGATCAGGAGGGCTTCTTTCTACTCTGAAAGATTCCTTCAAACGTCTTCATTTATCCAATCCTTCCTAAAAGCTGCGCGCCCTTCGAGGTCTTCGTTTTCTGCTCATCTCGTTCTTGTTTTCTTCTTTTTCTTCGTTTATCGTTCAATGAAACGTTCGCCGACGAAGAAGCGCGCTGCCCCCGCGGTTTAATCGTGTGTAAGTACAAAAAGCAGAATGCGAATGGAGAGCATCAAGATATCGAAGGATTCTTTTCGATATCCTTAGTAAATTCATAAGATTTTTTACGAATTTTCTTTTCTACAAATTTCCGGTTTTTTCCGAGTTCTCTTTTTACCATCTTGTTCATAGTTGTATAGTTCAAGCAAAGCGCCTCGCGTGTTCGTTTTTAAGCAATATACACGGCATTAGATAAGCCTTTTTAATTTTAAGCACTTTAAGTTACGCTAAGTCATTAAGTTATCACGTTTCTCTAATAGGAAATAATTATATAGTACTAGCGCGCTCACAGCAAATCCAAATGTGTTATTTTTTGACTAAATCTCTTTTCATAAATTTATCTTTTTAAATCATGTCATTTAACACGTCTAAACATATTAAATTAGAACTTACAGATTTGAAAATATGTTAAATGACGCGATTTAAAACCGCAAGAAATGTATAAAAAGAACTTGAGTCAAATAATGACACGCATATGCGTTTAAAAATATCACACTTGGCTTTGCGATGATGCTGGCGGAGTATCGGGATGATGGCAGCGAGCCAGGAGTCGAAAGACAGTACAAAAATCAATACCGATTCTGTACCAAATATTGTTAGAGTGCCGATATTATAAATATAGCAGTCGATAATGTCGACAATATAAATATCGATTCTCAGTACTGCAACAGTATCGAGAAACAATACAACAAAGAATTTTATTTCCTTATACGTCTCAAAGACGTGTAATCGCTATAACACGAATGATCCATATACAATCAACATATTGCACAATTATCCTCCTGAATGACAGACGTAATTTCGAAGGAAATTAAAAAAAAAGATGTATAACAACTGTTGTACAACTTGGTGTACCAGCAGTGTATTGGCGTTTTGATATTGCCGTTTGATACGCTCGTTTTAGCGATTTCAGTGCGGGCAGTAAAGGTATCTTAAATCTACCGACTGTTTATTGTTTCGCTGTACGAAACATGACATCCATTTTTCGGTACTGGATCGGTATTTCGCCAGTTTCCTGTACTGGCCTGCATACGACTCTTACATAGGTTATCACTTCCTTGTGTCAGCATACAGGAGGTCTCACTTTCCGGCGTAGCTTTATCATCGAAGATTATTCGTACGCATGAATTAATTGTACAATCGTTGTACTCTTGTAAGTTACTGTAATATATAATAGGCTCTTTCCTCTTTTGCTTTTAGCGTGCTGCGTTAAGTACGTCAAACGACGAGGAATATGAGGCGAAAGAATTTTCAGAAAATTCGGCTTTGCAACTCTAGGTACATTTGTTTATCTTGTTAATATTGCGCTATATGTAAGTAACATATTTCTTTCACTACGATGTATGAAAAGCGTGTCTCTCGGCGCGAGATATCATGTCAATATAAAATATTGTGTATTTATCGAGAATGTGTCTAATAAATATCCCATTCCTGCCTGTTCACTTTACAACCAATCGTGATATGGAAATTCATAGATACTATTATATTAATATAATTACATATATCATGATAATTCCGTTAATAAATAAATAAATAAATATCTTATTTTATAATAATAGATAATGAGATACATTACAATATATAAAGTTGTCTTTGCTGATCGGAACTTCGGGATCGAGAAGGATAACGATTGGTTGGTATACAATGTTGTACATGTTCGTTGAATAAATTTTATTGTACTAACGTGTGTGTGTGCGTGTGTGTGTGTGTGTATGTGACTCATCAGGGTAATATATACATAACATGCAATCGCCAGCGTGAGGCGAATTTACACGCGAGATATGAGGGAGAGGCGACGGTACAGAAAATATACATCTACCGCGCGGATAAGGCGCGCCTTTTCATGCGCTCATCTCGATGACATCGATATAAATATCAACTTAAATTACATTCGTTGTGTTTCGAACAAATGAGGACAGTGCTTTCCCTGATTTACCGTGAAAATCAGTCGACGAGCGAGCAGATTAAGACGATCTAATGTGGCACACGTGTGTTGTTAAAAGAGAAAGTAATCCAGATCCGACTGGTGAAATAATAATAAATATTACAGGCAAGAGAGCGAAGAGGAAAATTCTCTATTGCTTAAAGAAAATTGCACTTTATCCAGCCTCAGGTCTCACGACGCACAGAGGATTCTCCACATCATTTATTGATCGGATGATATCATGACATTTAACGTAACGAAATATATATAAATAAACATACATATACCTGTATATATATATATATATATATATATATATATATATATATATATATATATATATATATATAT